AAAGATGGCTCAGGTGGAATCCCACACAGGGATGGGGCAATTATGCCTTGATGATGATCAAACCTGCTTGGAGAAAAGAAACTGCAGGAGATGGCAGCCTGAAAGTCATGTGAGGAGCTGGCAATATTCAGGTCAAGCAAAGAGAAGCCAGAAACTAGGCCTTGGAAACAATGGAAATAACCTTTTGAGAAATAAATAATGGGAATTTTTTCCTGCAGATCTGCCTCTGAGATAGTGAGAAACACAGTTCAAAGCAAAGGTTCATCCTTCGAGGACACAACAGGCAACAAAAGATGTAAAGCCTTTTCTTTCTAATTGCTTTGCCTGCAAAATCACCAGTATTTTAGTTGATAATAGATAATAGAAGTTGTTGTGTTTGGGTTTTCTGTTTGTTTGGTTGGTTGGGTTTTAATATTATTATTATTTTAAATAGCCTGTTAGTCTTCTTGGAGGACCATGCTATAGGCAGGTTAATCTCCAAGCTCCAGCTGACTTGTGCTGCTTTTGTGTTGACTCAAGGAAGTTCAGTGAACCTTGTCCACTCATTGAACAGCTATAAAAGAGTGAAGCAGCTTGCTGGAGCTGCCAGGCAAAAGGGCTGTCACTACCCCAGTGCCCTAGCAGCCGTGGTGATGAATGTCATGGCTGTACAGCATCTTCAGCTCACAATGTGCTCTTTTCTCCCCTTCAGGTCACAACACTGAGTGCACTGGCCAAGATTGTTACTTGGGTCTCTGGCAGTGACTCCTTTCTAGGCTGCCTAGTTGGTGGCTCATGCAATCTGGCCTTCCCTACAGCTATTAATTTACACTTCAGTCGTTCTCATCTCACTGGTTTGTATTCCTCCTTCTCACACTTCTGAGTAAAGTTTATCTGGATATGCATAACAATTTTTTTCCTTGTCTACCAAACTGACACAAAATAATTAATTTTCAATTAACAGGATATCATCAACAAATATCTCTCCATCAGTCCACAGATCAACAGCAGCAGGTCATGTCAGGATACAACCCTGAAGCCAGAGCTGTTCTCATTTCCAGGTGATTGTTGACTTTACTAAGCATATTTCCCTTATTTCTATATAGATCCTGTTCACTCGGGGGAGCTAATCCCCTGTGCCTGGTACTTAACTGAGAGCAATGAGGTGTACACTGCTACTCTACTCCAGCTTCAGAGGTGATGGCACTCCTCTGAGTTAGCTCCTAAAGGACATGCGTGAACAACAGCAGTGGGAAGACATGCACAGAGCAGCTTTTCTGATGGCTGTTTTCCACACCGTCTTTGGATGATACAAAAAGCTGACTGGCTGAGACTCTTCCAAGTAAGACTATCTGAGTAAGAGATCATCAAGTCTGACTAAGTGATCATCAAGTCTGACTCAGTGAACTGCCCAGTTTTAATGAGATAGGAGTGCTGTGCTGGAATGCTTGCAGGTGGAAGGCTGTGTGCCCCATAGCACTATTTCCTTCGTGACCAGGACTATCTGTCTGACCAAGAAGTGGTGGAACAGAAACCAGCCATCAGCTGATACTGAAATCTGGGACCGCTGAGTCTGGTGGAACACAACCTCACCTTGCTAGGACCTGAAGGCACGCAAATGTTATGGTGTGGTCAGTGATATAGAAGTTGCTGACCGGTCTCAGGTACTTGATCTAGTCTATTACCTAAAAATTTATCAGTGTAGAATTTGAACTATGCCTGGACTTTAATACAACAACAACAACAGCATAAAAAAAAATCTGGTTTTTTTTGGTTTAATCAAATTGTATTCACATATCTTTGGCATCTGCTGTGGTCATAATTAAACTTTCCATGGAACATGAGGTGCAGAACTCAGAACTCTTGTTCCTGAACAAGAATCACATAATTTCCAAAGTTTTCAAGTGATTTTGTAATTAGTGGCTATTCTTTGATAGCCTTTGGGATACTAAGGACAGTTAGGCCACTGGTATTACATGCCTGTCCTTACTCTTGTTTAAAGGTAGACTTTGGGAAAGCTGAGTAGGGCCGTGCACACTGGGAAAATGGTAGAAAGCTTGAAACTGATAGCAATGATTTGAAGTATGTGTGGAAGCAAGGAAGAGTAGGAAACAGGCAGGAAAATAATTATGTCCTCCTCCTCACTTTGAATAAAAGACTGAGAACCACAGCAGCCTGGAAAGGAGACTAAGAAAGACATAACCTTTAATAATGCTATGATCCAAGCAGGAATGTAAGTTGGGAAAAATAACTCCACAAAGCAGCTACCAGCTAAGACCTGTGCCTTGCCAAACTTTTAATATGTAATGAATATGGCACAATTTGGCAGCAGAGGAGTTCATGTGATTCCTGAAATAACATACGTCCGATTTTAAGAATGAAGTCACCGTGAAAAAGGACCCTTTTACAAGCAAAGACAGCTGTAGAACTGATGAAAGCATATCTCCCAAGAAAATGTAGCAGCTAAAAAAAAAAGAAGCGTCTTTAATTTACAATTCATTCAACAATATAGAGAAAGTCATATTGAGAAGCCCAGTGTGCAGCATTCTCCAGCACAAATGGCTTGGAACTTAAGTAGTCACATGAGGTACTCATGGGAGTATGACTGGATTGTGCAAATACTATTCACATACACAAAAATTGGAAATTAGATAAAAAATTGGATAAAAGGAAAATTTCAAGATAGGCCCACAAGCTGGGAGTGAGATAATCACAGCATTAAAGACAAATATTGGATTGCTCAGTATGTTGTATTGTAGGCGTACATAAACTGATACAGAAAATCCATAGGAATAGATATTACATAAAATTATGAAAAAAAATCAAAACATAAAGGACCTTTTCTGCCTTGGCTAAAAATTCAAGCTCAGAATTCTAACAAACAAATAATTCTAAATTATCACACAAATGCAAACATTTAGGAGGGAAAGGACTTTTGGTTCTCTACTCCAATCCCCTGCTCAGAACAAGGCTGACTTCAAAGCCAGGCTGGGATGGCTTAGGGCCTTTTCTATTAAAAGCAAAATACAAGAGGAAAACATAATCCCTCATCACAATCTGTTCACAGCTGATGCAATTATATTTGAAAGCAAATTAGTGATTCATAACTTTTTATAATGTCATTTTACAAACTGCCAAGAAGCAGTGCCACTATACCTGATAAGTGAATTTGTTCATGATTGGATTTGAGAGGTTGTTTTTTTTTTTTTTTTTTGAAGTCTCAGTGGTATCTGAAACCAGGCTGTTTGTGCAGCATGAGGAATCTTAAAGAAATGTGAGAGCAAGCAAGTTCTATACTCCTGACACCTTCAAAGTGGCCATCATTGGCTCTCTAATGTATATTAAAAGCTGGAAATCTACTACTAGTACTGTAACACACCTCTCCATGCCCACCTGGTGTTGCTGTGGCAGAACTTCAAAGCCAAAAAAGAATTATCAAGGAATACGTTAGAGGAGGGGGGTGGTGGGTGGTAAGGTAGATAAAAGGGGTTTGTAGGAGCTACAGTCTGCCTCTTTAAAAGCCTAGTTTCCAATAGTAGCCCAAAGTGAATGAAACCCTTTTTAAATAGCTACTACAAAGCAAGCTAGTACAAACCTTTTAACAAATAAAACTCTACAGACACTTTACTTAAAGTACAGAGACTTTCACTCAAAGACCACCCTTGAGCTTAGGCAAGATGCTGGCAAATGTGCTGCAGAAGTTCTGAACTATGGAAGCACAGTGTTCTCAGGCTGAGCCCGTGTGTTAATGGGAGCATTGTCTGGCCCGGATACAGCCACGGTCTGACCATGAAAAAACCACACCTGGCAAGCCACTTCATCCTCTGTCATTGGCTACAAGTGAGGAGAAAACAAAGGTGTAGTTCCAGCTCCACAGACTTAGCCAGCCTCTTCTGGGCTATGCCTCGGGGGCCTTGTCCATATAAAGCATGAAAATTCCCCACAGCAAATTCCTCCTCTGTGCGATAAGTATATTGACACAAATCCAGCTCACTGATGGGAGATCTCTGGCATCTGAGGTTAGGTACAAGTAGCAGTGTTATGTGAAGTACACCCTTCAGCTCTGTGTGCAACACAGCTCAGACGTTTCCATCCTGTTACTAATCAACCTAGTCAGATTATTCAGTACTAATCTTGGCACTTGCTACAAACATAAGAGCACGGGTGAGGAACTGAAACTGCGTATTAACATATGTGCTAACTACCAAAATGTAGTCCCTAAATTCCCTTTCCTTTGTGCCTTCCTTCCAGCACACCCACAGCACCGCTGCTACAGAGGAAACCACCTTCACTGATGTAGATTGTGACATCAGAGAGACTGCCCAACTATGCTTCATACAAAATAGGTGTACTTGCATAAAAATAGCTGAGAGTTCAGCTGTCTTTCAGGTTCCATTGTTGCAGTGGTTTCAGGAGTACATTTTGAAGCATTTTCATCAACTCAATTTTACAGTCACAAAACAAAGGGAAATTCCACTCTCATTGTCAGCTGTGTGGACCAAACACCACAGTTTGGTGTAAAATCCGAGAACCTTGCAGCCCACCCACACAGGCAGATTGCTGCCCCATGAGTTAACAGGTATTTCTTCAGTCAGCTGCTGAATTAAAAAACCTGTAATGTATTTCTAATTTCTCGAGAGACTGAGACAGAAATACTTTTGTTCTGCCTATTTTCCTGGGACAAAAAAATGGATGAGATTTATGTGCAGCATAACAGAATAAAAAACTGGGGGATTATTTGATTTTTTAAATTTTTCTTCATTACTTTATTACTTCATGTAAACAGTATATTTCAAGGATATGTCTAATCATACTGGAAGTCAATAGGCATCAGTCCTTAAAAAGCTAGCTAGGGGTGAGGCTGCACAAGTGAAGGGAGGCTTTTAAAGCCTAAAATGTCCAGGAGGTGGTGGAGCCTCAGGAGCTCAGTTTCCACAGGTAGGGTGAAATTTCAACACGGTTATATTTTTCCATCATTTAGTACTGCCAGTGGCTCCCCTTCCTTGAATGTGGGTACTCACCCCTACTTCCGGAGGGTCGGGAAGCCAGCCCAGTTCACCCTGTGCAGTGCTTGTGTCAAGTAGATCCACTGAAAACCAGAAGAGAGGGAAAAAAAAAATAAATCGGCGACCCAGCTCATACGGCCCACGGAATAGTTTCATCCTTTGTTTTGTCAAAGAAGGTAAAGCCTGCATTTCCTCTCTCAAACCCTTTGAAATCTTTCAAAAAGCATGACTAGAGGAGGGACGGAAAGATACCAGACAGGGCAGTTAGTCAGGAGTTAAAAGTTTTTACTAATATATGAGACCCCCCCCCGCTTTCTATACACATCCAAGAAACCGCAACCCTGACAAATTTTATCACTTCCTAAAACTGTCCCAAAAAGGAAGAAGGAGGCTGAAGCCTATTCAGATGGGTACCCGGCATTAGCAGCTGAACACATATTTCCTTTAAATAGGAAGGCAGCAAACTAAATGGCTGAAGAGTACGGCAATCAAATAAATTACCAACACAAAAGATCAATCAGTGTCGCCTGGAGGGACTATTCAGTACTTGAAACACGGTGGGAAAGTACAGAGTCAGTGTGAAGTTGTAGAAGGGACTTTCCATTGTCACAGTACCCAAAAGCCCGGAGATGCATCACTTGTGCAAATTGATGAGCCCCCCACTTCTAACTCAGGCTGTCCACCAGCTGACGATGGCCTAGAAATCGTTTAACCCTCTCCCAACTTGCCGACTTTTTTGGCCGGGACATCAAGAGAGAGAAATGGTTCCGGCCATAGCATGGCCACCTCCTGCAGAATTGCACGGCTGCTTTAAGCCTTGCTCCTGGAGTCGTGTGACAAAAGAGAAATCATCGGTATATTCACTTTTAGCCGTCAAATGAATTTGAAAATAGGATCACAGTTTGGCCTAGTCTTGATCTGAAGACGTGTTTAAAAATGTGTCACTTTGTAGGCAAACATTGAGATAGCAGAGGAGTTGGAATAAGACACACTGTGGGATATGCAGCTTCGTGCCGGCCTTTGGGTTTGCCGGTGCTGCCAGAACAGACTACTGGTTTCTGTGCACCTATCGAAGTCCCAGCTTGGGAACATAAGAAACAGAAAAATTCTTTGGATTCCCTTTTAGATTCTTGTGGGTGTATTCAGAGGGGTCGTTTCTGAACATCTCAGAAAAGAATCTGGGGGTGAAAGGTAGGAGTGGGGAGATTTTTAAATGGCATTTAAATAACCAGGTTTCCTTCCCCTCATCTGACTCTTTTACAGACACTCCCTGCCAACTATAAGTAATAGTGTAAAGTGCAGATCAGCAAGAGTACTGTGGAATGAGTAAGCAGGCTGTGGGCCCAGAATCAGAGATAAGAGGGATTTCGCTGCTGTTCTCACCTCTGAAACACCCTTTCAGGATTGGGAGAAGGGAAAAGCAAGAATCCAGGTTTTGCAAGTTCCAAGCGCTCACAGTATGGTCATATGGCAAAACCTTCCTAGCCACAGACTCCCTGTCCAGACAAGGCTCCTCATTCACTTCCCCTCTACTTTCAATCTCTTTATTTGAGATAATATTCTTTTGTGGTTAGCTCCAAAAGCTCAGAGGGTGAGGTAGCCTGTCCTGCCAGAACCATAACCCAGATAAAATCTATGCCATCCCATCCTCTTCAGGAGTGAAGCAGCATTGTGAGAGCGGCTGCATGGCAAGCTCTAGCAGAGCAAGGGAAAAGGAACTTGGAAGTGGCTGGGACAGGAACCTGGCAGAGCCCTTGTGCCACGCTCTGCACCGCCAGCAATGGCAGCTCCTTCAGCTGCTGTGTGCCCACTGGAGGGACAAAGCCCACTGGCAAGAAGTACTTCTCAAAGTGAATCCCACAACAGGGATTCTCCACGGAAAGGATGATTGAGTCAGTAAGACTACAGAAGCAGAGGAATAAAGTCCTCAGGGACTACTAACTCTGGTCCACATCTTTGCTGCTAGGAGTCTCATGTGGCTGCCCAGCCACAGGGGAGGACGTGTCGCCAAAAAGAAGAAAGGCTTCAGAGGACGCCTGGAAAATGAGCTGTTTCCCTGAGAGACAAGTTAAGGAAGAGTGGATCACAGACACAGTCCAAACGAGACGGCTGAGATGGGGGAGAAGTGGGCAGACAGGTCCCTGACTGTTACTGCCAACTACTGGTCACACTTCTGGAAACCGAAGCCTGCGCGGTGCCACCCGGTATTACTTCTCACCCAGGCTGGCCTTCTGCACTACGTCTGCCAGCTGCATTCACAACCTAGCTGATCCTTAGTGGAAACAGGCTTGTCAAGGACCCTTTAAAAGATCACTGAGTACAGAATCAGAGCTGAGTCCATGGCTGAACTGCCAGTTATGACAAAGTCCCCTCAATTCAGAGCCTGCAGAAGCGAAGGAGGATTGTCCTTGGGATGGAAAAGCCCCAACACCTCTTGCTGTACAAAACAGAAGTCCCTAGCAGGGACTGACTGCAGGAGGAGGTAGGAAACAGAGATTTACACTTCCCTCACCTCTCTATTGAAAGTTACCATTCTCCCATGTTTCATAACCACTGTGCAACTACCAAGATGGAAGGGAAAAAAAATCACTACATCTAATAAAAGGGAGTAAGTGGTACAGGGAAGGGAAACATGGAAGGCTAAAGAGGTGGAAGAGGAAATTTTAAAGCCCAGCTCCGTCTACCAGGAGTAGGGTAGGTAAAAGACTCTGATAAAATTACTGTCTGGTTGCTCACAAGGGTTAACTCCTAGGAGGGCTTCCTGAGGAAACTGCGGGGGTGTTGCCAGAGGAGGGGAGAAACTTTCTGAGTTTGTGTTTAAACTTGTTATCTGCAAGGCCGTGTTTGAGGGGAACAGGGGCAGAACTCACTTGGATCACTGGATACGCCGGGGCATTTCTGCTTCAGCTAGGAGGAGGTGAAGGAGAGCGAGAACATACCTGGGCTCGCTCACTGAGCCACCGCGAGATTCGGATGGGATTTGCCAGGCCGTGGTGTCCCCACACCCGGCTGTCCTTCCCTGACCCCCCCGTCGCTCGGAGGTGTCCTTGGAGCCCCAGACGCGTGGGCCAGGTCCCGTTCCCTGCCCCTTAACGAGGTCGCTCTCGCTGCGTGCCCCAGCCCAGCCCTCCAGGCAGAGGGACCGGCGGGTCCCACGCTTACCTTCTTTGCCGTGCGCCTCGGGAGGAAGGAGAGCCCAGAGGAGAAGGAGCCCGAGCGAGAGCTCCATCCCGCCGCTGCAGGTGCTCAGCCCCAGGCTGGCCGGAGAGGGGGCCCGGCTCGCAGCCCCCGCCGGCTCCGGCCTCCGTGCCCGGGCTGCTGCGGGCAGCGCATGGGCCTCTCCCGCAGCCTCCCGAGCGCGGCGCGCACGTTGCACAAGCGCCCGCCTGGCCCACGGTGGTGATGAAAGATCAAGGCGAGTGGGTGGAGAAGCCTTACTGCTTTTACCTGTTCTAAGGGGCTGGTCACAGACTTCCCATCTGGCAGGCAAATAAACCCACCTTAAAGGCAGCCACCTCTTTCCTGGGAGCCTCCCTCCACCTTTGCTCCACTCCCGTAAGAGGCTCCCGATTGCCACCTCCTGGGCAGCCCTCGCCATCCTTCCCGGCCCCGGCAATGGCTTTAAACTGAAATTTTAGGAAGAAATTCTTCAGGGTAGTGAAGTACTGGGACAGGTTGCCCAGGGAGGTTGTTGCTATTCCATCCCTGGAAGTGTTCAAGGCCAGGTTGGATGGGACCCTGGAGCAATCTGGTCTAGTGGAAGGTCTAGTTCCAACCCCCATGGCAGGGCAGTTGGAAATAGATGATCTTCCAGGTCTCTTCCAAGCCAAACCATTCTGTGATTCTGCCATCTGTGGTAATGGGGCTAAAACCACTGAGCCATCCTCACTGAATATGTTTAGGAAATCCATCTGTACACAGGGACAGCAGCCCATTTCGTTCCCAAGTATGTCACAGAGTGACAGCAATACCACTTTGTCTCGCAGAATTACTGGTTTTCATTTAGTATGCTCCACAGCATTTATGGACAGTGCCTGCTTCTCAGAAAAAAGAAAAAAAAAAAAAAAAAGAAATCATGGGAGAGGAGGCAAACTAGAAGAATTCTTTCTCTGTGTAGGAAGACCTCATGGGACTTTTTGTTTTCTTCCTGAGGGACATAAATATGAAAGAACTTGCCTTTGTTCTGTCTCTTCTGGCATTCATCAAGGATGTTACTCCCACCCATACACAGCTATTACACCCCTCCCCATAAAATACAGGTGGTATTATTACACTTACACTTGCTGTATGGCTGCATTCCTCCTGCTCTCTTCCTCCTCCTCCCCAAGGAAGGCTAAAGAAAGGACCTTGTCAGGTTGCTTAGAGAGGCTGGGGGATCTCCACCCTTGGAGATGTTCCAGATTTGCCAGGACACAGCCATGAGCAATGTATCCACCTCTGGAGTCAGCCCTGCTCTGAGTAGTATTTGGGACTGTGGACTCTCTGAGGGCCTTTGCATATAATCTTTCAGTGAATCCTGTGATTCTCAAACTATACATCCTGAGAAAGAAAGATCTATCCCAAGATGTCTGAACATAGGCAAGAAAAATTTCAGAAAAAATGGTTACAATACTAAGCTTATAATTTTACGTAGCACATGAAGTAAAATATAGCTGCAAATAATTCAAATGTAAATGGCATTCAGAGTAGTTGTACCTTAAGTTTGTTACAGTTCAATCCTGTCTAAAGTTCTCTGTAACAGTCCATAGTGCTAAGTCAAACTGTTATGCCTATGTTTCCCCCACAATTGAATGACTCCCATTGCAGGAATCATATAAGATTTTTTGGTCTACAGCTCATACCTTGAGTTTGTGCTGGGGGGAATGTGTCCATTTAGGGCTTCATTTGTACAGTTCTGTCCCTTCTTCAATATGTGATGTAGCACTGGGGCAGACAGACCCACAGCTAACTTCTCTGTGATGGGATGACATAGGCAAGGCCTAAATAGAAGTGAAATGGGGAAGAACCATTTGCAACTGGAGGATAAGACTCTAGGGCAGCCCAGAAGCTCATGTCCTTCCTCAGGAGAAAAAAAAATCAGTGTTGATGCTTAATATTTGGCTCCTTAGGGCTAACAGAGTTTGCATCTGTAAAATCCCATAAGTGACAAGTTCTGGAGTGAAGAGCCTTAGGATGTTCTGTCTCCATGTCACTGGTGTGCAGATACTCAGAACATTTGATCTAAGGAGTAGGTAGGAAGCAATTTACTAGGGCTTACTGGAGAATGTGGCCTAAAAAAAAATTACGTTCTTTTTCTCCCCCTTGTAGTGTTGGCAGATGGGGATCAGCAATTGGGGTTTTCCAGATAATGATGGTCAGAAATAGTATTTATTGCTTTGTGGTTTTTCAGATTGGAGATCACCTAGTGTAGCTCACAGTCAGAATGTGTACAATGATAGTGAAACAAAATGCAGTCTAATGTTTCAGCAGGATCAGGATCTGAAGAAAATCTATAAACAAGTGGGAGCATACAGAAGTAAAACCACAAAATGCCTAGAACTTTTCTGGTACCTGTAAAAGTTCTGCCAGATTGTTTTCCCATGTGTCCTCTGCACCAAAATGCAGATCCAAAGGGAAAAAGAGGGAATATACACAGAGCCTGTAGCCAGAAGAGTGAGTACCACACATGCATTTTCATACTCAGTATTTCATTGACATTGTTATTCTGTTTGTGCATCACAAGTTTGGATTTTGTCTTTGGATATTGTCGGGCAAAATTAATTCTCTGACTGTAAAAAAACACAAACAAAACCACCACCACCAAACAACTAAAACAAACAAATCCCAAACAAACAACAAATAAGCAAAACCGAAAGAACTTAATTTAAAAAATCTTTTTATGTCTTGTTTGCAATCATATTCTATGATTCTATGATTTACATCCCCACAACCTCTCACTCTCCTAGCTTCCCAGTGAGCATCCCATCTCTGGCATGTGTCTTGGTGTTAAGAAGGTAACTGTATCTTTTCAGCTCACTCTCGGCATGTCTTTGGGCTGATTCTCATCCTCTCTTTCTTGGCCATCTGAATATTTCTGAATTGCAGGTCACATTTTTTCCTTCCATTTCCCAGAATCTTGTTTTGAGTATCGCTGTGATTAGGTATCCAGCTGGAAAATATCACCACACAACACACCTGGGCTTTCCTCCTACAGCTATGTGGGCTTGTGGTGAGGGAAGTGAGGAGGAAGGCTGTGCACCAGGTTTTGTTTTAATGTGCTCTTGGGAAAGTCAAAGGGCACTCCCAAGGCCGAGTTGGGACGTGCTTCTTTTGAACTGCAGTTCAGATAAAACTGTCTGATATGATTCTTACAAATTGTTTACTCTGTTTGCTGCTCCTCATATTTTAGAATTAGTTTCACCATTGTGCTGTTAAATGTCCTTACAGATGATGAATTAAACAGAATCTAGGAATAATCTCTGTAGTTTCTCACTTGATATCACTTCCCTAATTATCAAAGCATCCCTTTGGTACTGATAACTTGAATCTGTGCATCCTGAACTGGCTTTGAGTAAGGTATCCTAGTAACATAGATGTGTAGGTCTTCCAGAGGCCTCAAATTCATTTTGCAACAAGCCTCACTTCAATCTAAAGGAGGAACTTGCTCTTGTTCTGTGGTCTCTGATCCACTCCTTTTACCTATTATTTCTACAACTCTAGGAATAATCTATGACAGCTTTGTAGAGCCTAAGATATGCTCTGTTTCAAAGTCTTATTCCCTGTAGAAAATTCGTGCTTTCTGTCCCTTATTCTCACCTGCATGACCACAGTTAAATATTCTAGTGTTTTAATGTTTATCTTATAAGGTTTTCTGTCTCTACTCCACCAGCAATTATCTTAGAATATTTCAAACAGCTGACTTTAGACTGTTTTTCTGCAGAAAACAGACACCAACCACTTAGACTCCTACTGCATGTTTCATTCAGAAACTCAGATTTTATTTTAAATAAATATTTTTACCTCCTATGAAGGAGCACAAGTAGCTCCTCTGGATCACAAAGCAGCCATCCTTCTGTTAGAGACCTGAGGACCTGACTGCACAAGTAGTCAAGCTGGTTATCTTTCTCCCTTGAGAAGAAGAACAAGGGCAAGGGAATGAATGAAGCTGATAGAGACAAGGCGTAGATCTGATATTTCATACACAGAAGAAGCAGGAGACACTCCCTTATTCTTCCTCACATATGTGAGATAAGCATCCTTGGAGATAATAAAAGCTTTTCCTGAAAAGCCCTGAGCAACCTGACACAGTTTTGGAGTTAACCTTGCAGTGAGCAGGTATTTGGGCTAAAGGCCTCCAGTCATCCCTCCCCACATCAATATTTTGCTCATTCAATTCATCATTGGTAGATGAGCAATCACATTTTCTTCCACCAGGAATGCAGACAGTTCCTTACTTGGGCTCCAGTCAAAACAGGAGGGTAACTTCCCAAATATATTTTCCACCTAGCAGAGATGTCATTCAATACATGGACTAGAAGAAGCCCAGTATTCCTGAATAAAACTCCACTTACTTGATCATCAGGAACTCACTAAATAGGTGTTTCTCTACGTGCTGATGCCCTGGCTGGATACCTGATCAGGCAGGGAAGCGTGTTTACACTGCTGCCTGAACTGCAGGCTCGCTGGCTTTTGTCTCTGGATAAGTTTATCCTGCCATGGTCTTCCATGCTCTTTATTTGGCTTGCAAAACAGGGCTCAGTTAAATTATTACACCATCCTGCAAATGAGGGGGAGGACCTTGCTTTTCCGCAGAAATTACCTGAGATAACTCTCTTGCCGTATTAGCCCAGCTCTGCTCCCCCTTGTGTTCCAGCGGCTGTGGAGCCCCAGAGGCCCCGGCTGCCTCCGGAGAGCAGCCAAACAGGGCTTCGCCTATGCTGAGGTGTGACATTTTGTACAGACAAGAGGAAACCAATGAAAAGCAAGTCATAATAGAATCTGATTCATTCTCCTAATCATAAAACTTCCCTAAGTGGTACAAATCTGGGTCACAAGAGTTAGTTTCTTTCTATTATACTATTGCAGCACATTATATACTTAGAAATCTAAAAAGTGCAGTTCTACATTTAGCACTTCTCTTTGAGGGCACATTCTTCCTGGGCATCTTTAAAGTTGTCTATTCATCTTGGTGGCATTAAGATTTCACGAGAGGATTCACTTTCTCCTTAAGCATTACTGACACAACAGCATATGTGTGATAAACATAAAATCTGACCCAGATAAACTTGATTTCTAGTAGAGAAATGAACTGATGACTTATTTCTAGTAGAGAAATGCTGATGACTTATTCCACTAGATTATAGAAAAGTGAAAATATAATATTTTAGTAGCTGAATCAAAGCTCAAAATATAGCAAACACATACCTCTCTGTAATTTTTTCATATATTCTAGCCATTCTTCCCCAGTCCTGGATTAATTATGTTCAAGCATGGAAATATCTCACTGATGCTTACTAAAGGCTTTACTAAAATACAATAAAAAGCCGTACCATTAGTCACTTAGATAGTGTAATTTTAAATTATTTTTTCTGCTCTTACAAGTGAATGTGGGAGTTAATAAATCTTTTCTGGGTGTTTATAACAAATGTTTTAAAGCTTTTATGTCTGTTTCTGATATGTTTTTTGAGATATTTTTGTGGTCCTCTTCTTAACAAATTACAGTTGCCTCCACAATCTAAACACAAGAAGCTTGTCATATTTGTTGCTGTTGTAGCTTGATCCTGATGTTGAAGAGCTGCTGTCCAGTGCAGAAATGAAATAGTTTCCACTGTTCACTGTGTTAGCAAGCAGCATTCTCCCTGAGAGGTTTCAAGGTGGACATCAGGAGAAGGTATTTGAAGCAGACACCTTGCAGATGGAAAGAGGGCATTGAATGTGTTAACATCTTCCCAGCTCACTGCCAACTCTATTCTCAGTTCAGCCTCCCACTTGATTTTTTGAAACTTGAACTCATTAATTAAATCAAAACATGAAAACTGAAATGAATGCTGAGAGCAACTGTACAGCAAAACCACAATGAAACACTACACAGATTTTAGGAGACCTGATTTTCAGCAGTGACTAGACTAGAGGCCATATGCTGCTGAGCCATCATGTCTTCCCTCAACTTTACATGCCAATTTGTAGAACCAGATGGTCTTACATCTTTACATACCAATTTGTAAAACCAGCCTGTCTCATATTCTTGCACTTATGCAGGTAAAGCCAAAGGTACACACTGGGTGGGTGTCGACCTTCCCATTCTCACTTTTTCCTGGACTTGCTTGGAAGACAACTGAGCACAATAGGATCTTTAGAGCCAAGAGCTTTAGGTTAGGGATACAGAACTGGAATTATTAATAACACCTTCAGTCAGCTTTTTGATGTGGAGGTACTTGTAGGGCGAGGTGAAACTAATTCTGAAACCAACCAGCTGGCAGGAGCTTCACCTCATTCTTCAGCTCCACTTTGGTCTCCTGATTAGTTTTTGTCCTCTGTTCCTGGTTGCTTCCTGAAACAATCCATTGAAAGGAAGCTTAAGGCCTGTGCAACAGCTGAGTTGAGAAATAAAAAGCTTGTAGAAATGTTTAATTCTGTGGAGAAATGGCAGAAATTTCTTTCCCATTAGCTTTTTTATGGGGGTGTGGACTATATTTGTTTTATATCATATAGGAAATTATCAGATTTTTTATGCTGATTACATAATTTCATATAATAGTAAAAAAACAATCTCAGGAAGGACTCATCTCTCTTCTTTTGTAAATATTCTATCTATAAATATCTGCAAGAGAAACTCCTATAGCATTCTAGCTTTTATAATAGTAAAATATGTAAATAGAAAAGTAATAACAGTAAATATTGCTCCTTTGGCATGTTCATAATAAACATAGAAAACAGAGGTATTTTCTTAATAAAGAAAATCTTTGACAACTTTTCACCCTCATTATATTAACATTTATTTTCTAGGTTTACTACTAAGCCCACAGCCATTTAATTTTACAATTCCATTATTCTAAACAGCTGTATTAATTTCACCTTCCTGCTTCAGATCAAAGGATAAAAAACATCTATTTGGGTAAATGTAGGATTATTTGCAGGTTTTCTAAGCTTTTAAGGAATGTGAAAGAAAGAAAGACTGGTGGACACACTTTCCATGTAAGCCAAAACAGACAGAATGTGATAACATGACTGTCAGGGGAAGATAAATACACTGAAATTTCTTCCTAGTTCTTAAAACTGGATTTTGACAATTTTTCAATTTTCCTTACCCGTAATAGAAACAAATCCCTCCTTACCCATAACAGAAACAAATCCCCTAAATAAACTTTTTGTATTTATACTCCTAGGAAAATATAGACTTTCTTTTAATGCAGGTGCATTTATATATTTTAGGAGATTGATTATTTGTAGGAACAACTTTTAAGAAATGTCTTACCTAGATTGCCAGCAAAGCATAATAGTGTGCAAAAAACCCCAAAACAAAACAAAAAAACCCCAACCAAACAAAAACAAACAAACAAAAAACACCAAAGCATTTTTCTCTGGTTTCTCTCTATACTGAAAGGCAGGTTTCACTTGTATCCTCCCAGTACCAGTACCAGTACTACCCAGTACTGGTAGTAGCTCTGAAGGAGCCACCTTGAAATATCTCCTTGAGTGGAGGAACCTTTCAGTGGCATGTGCCATTCAAGGTGCCGGACCTTGAATATCCTGAATGCTGCCCAAAGTCTGGGCCATCACCCTCCAAACTCTCTTCATTTTTGAGAATGTGGACAGCTGATCACTGATGCGATCTTCCAGGTTCAATTCTTAGAAGCTGGGCTCTGGTGCTGCACCATTGATAAGATCTGTGTTCTCACACAGTGCTTGCTCAAGGCCACCTTTATGAAATTAATTGCAAAGGTGAGTACTCTGTTTTTATGGCTGTGTAAACCATGAAGTGATTCTTAGTGATGTCCTAATTGGTTTCACTGGAAAACTTCATGACATCTATATTTGCCACATCTCAGGTCTCTGCATTCCTCTTCCAAGAATGGACAAGACCATTTGAAATACAGCTACCCAGCTGTACTCATTCACTGGGGAGTCTTGAATCCCTGTCCAACCCAAAAAAACTACAACACCCATGGAAAGATCTTTTCTATACCCATCTTTGGTTGGAGGTGGAATGTGCATTTGTTAAAATCTGCACTGCCTGACTGGATCCTGCTGTTCCCCATGAAGTTCCGAGGAGAACTTAGAAATTACCTTTTAAAAATGATTATTTATGTTCATGCCTACATCAGGGATGGTGGATACTTCGCTTGAGCATTCTCCAGCTCTCAGCACACAGTGTGCTGAGTCAACAGGACTGAAACTGCCACTTGTTGAGTGGAAAAGGGACCTCAGGCAGGTCCAGTCAATTAGAAGATAACATTTTAGAAAGAAGATGTGTCTGATATCTCTTATACATTACTGCTTCTCTTAACTCATGCTATCTACAGATCTATACAGTGCTCAATACAGCTGGCATGGGGTGGGGGGAAAGGGTGCTGTGAATGGGTGTGGGAATACTGATGGGGTTAGTCTTGGACTAGTGGATGTGGGAATGCTGGTGAGGATGGTCTTGGGCTCTGGGATATCGCCTTGCTCTGTTCCTCTGCAAGAACACTGGATAGAGAAAGTGTCTTCTCAGAAAGCCTCCACTGCTTGTTGTACTTCCCACATGTATCTCAGAAGGAAAGAGCTGGGCGTCTAACCTGGCTGCTGTTTAGGTATGTCATCCCTTCCAAAGGCATCATCTTATATCCCCGGGGTGAGGAGAGGTCTGCCCAGGTGCCTCTGTTCAGGGACAGCCCTGCTATCTTCCCATAGCAGGTCACAGTTATCTCTCTGCTATCCCACGCCCACAGCTGCCAGAAATATGTGAGGGCCTCTACCAAGGCTTTGAACAGTATTATAAACCTTAGTGTCTTTCTGTCCTTCAGTTTTATTGCCAGGCTTTTGGACATATCAGTACCTCCTCAATGGCAGGTTAGAAACCTCTGATGCAGAGTCCTGCTAATCTCAAGAAGGACCTCTGTCCATTTCAAGTCCAGCCAACTGCTTGCAACAGGATTAACTTTAAAGCCTGATTTGACTTGACAGGATTTAGAATTGATGCTTCCTATTTTTCCTGTACTCATTACAGTTACTTAATAGTATTTGATTCAAAGTACTTCTCTAATTCTGAAGTACTTCTCTATTGGTACATAGTGTTCTCTCATTGAGACCCTCCCCTTCTCACTTTTGGAAGAGCTGGCAGGTGATTAAAATGTTCATTGCAATTTGATAATTTTAAATAATGCATCTAAGTGTTTGCCCACAGAGTAATTATGTATTCATTGACTTGAGAGCCAATATTCTGTGTTAATGTTTTAGGCAGGCTAGACTCTGAACTTGAAGAGAGATTTTAATGTCAATTTTAAATTCCACATTTCTCTTTTGTCAGAAGGCTCCAAGTTAACTTCCTTAGTTACGGTGCCAATTTCTTACATTTGTCAAATCCACTTACCATAATTTTTAATGATTGTAGCCCAGAGAAAACAAATACCACTCTGCTCTCTCAATCTGCCCAGCAAGAGAGTTGAGGGCAGCTGGGGTGCTGAAATTCCTTTGGATTAGACAGAGGAACAGAAGCAAACATTTTAATTTTTTCTCAACTATTTTCTGCGTAAAAGGTGGGTTCTGAATCATAGGGTCTCTATGGCCTTTAAAAAGACAGAGGGGAGGGAAGTATTAAATAAAATAATTAAGTTGGTTCTTCCCCCCCGCCCCCTGCCCCCTTCCTGGCCAAAATTGATCTTCTCTAATTTGTCTGAATCATCCTGTTCCTCCTACACATAGGAAACTCATAAAATAGCACTGCTTTGCACCTTTCGGACTCTTACGTCTGCTGCAGTCCAGCCTGTGCTGTAAGTCTCACTGGTTTTGCTGAAGAAATTGCAGTAATTGTGGCAGCAGTATTATTACTTTTACAATTACACATCTCAACACTCCCCAGGCATTCATATTTATATGATGCAGTCTTTGCTGGTGAAAGTCACATGATAAAACAAGTATCTTAGCCTTTGTGTTGCCATAGGAACAATCCAAACCTAAAGCATCTCCCTATAAAAGGAAACATGTTTTGCTTCCTGCAGAACAGGCATAGCAAAGCCATACTCTTGTTAGACTAATGGCATTTTAACTTTCAATATGTAGAATAATTCAAGGTTAGATGAGTTTACACTAACAATCGTTCCATTTGTCATGTGATGCCAGAGTGCAGCCTTCTACTAAATTTGGAGAAAACCACAGCTATTTTACCCTCGTTTCTAGCCATGGACTTTCTTCTTTTAACCTTCCTTTAAGCCCCTACAGATTTATTGTGCTGCTAAACTTACCAGTCTAAAATCTGTACTGATTACCCAATTTCTACTGTCATCTTGATAGAAAAATAACAAAATTAATACTGTAGTATTGGTTTATTAGCTTTAGAAATTTTTGTGTTGATCTTCTGATTGTGCTGGGATGTGATCAGAGTGATCCTGAATACGTATGTGATCAGAGAAGTGAGACCAGTGACTGATCAAAGCTCTTCATCCTCACAACTCACTAAAGCATTTTCCTTTAGATCAAGTATTATGTTGGGGATTTTTTTGAGCAGAGATATTTTTTTCTCATGAATGTAGTGATGCATGTAGAATTCTGCCTGGATATTTGCCTTAGTGAAGCCTATAGTTGTCTGGTTATGGGGCTGTTTTCCAGCAAGCATGTGTTTGTTCTACTAAAATTTACCACATACACACACATCACAACTCTGATAGTATCCCAGTTTACCTATTTTCTTCCTCCTCAGCATTTTCTTGAGGATCTCTCTGATTTCCTTTTTCCTCAGGCTATAAATGAGAGGATACATTAAAGGAGTAATGTTGGTGTAGACCAGAGACACCACCTTGTCCCGAGCTGGTGAGTAAGTGGACTTGGGACGAATGTAGATGAAGGTGGCGCAGCCATAGTGCAGTAAGATGACGGCTAGGTGTGAAAAGCAGGTGGAAAAGGCCTTGCCCCTTCCCACAGGGGAGGTGACGCCTAACAAAGCCACAGCAATGCAGAGGTATGAGGCCAGGATTAGCAGGAAGGGGAGCAGCAGCAGGAGCACACAGGCCGCCAGCATGGGCAGCTTGGCGGTGTATCCCTGCATGCAGGCCAGGCGCAGCACGGCAGGCACATTGCAGAAGAAGTGCTCGATTCAGCGGGGCTGACAGAAAGGCAGGCGGAACACAGCCACCGTCAAGCCCAGGGCGAAGCCTCCCAGGGCGCAGGCCAGAGCCAGGCGGAGGCACAGCCCCTCGCCCACCAGGGCTGTGTAGTGCAGGGGCTGGCACATGGTCACGTAGCAGTTGTAGAACATGGCTGCCAGCAGGAAGCAGTCAGCCCCGCTGAGGGCCACGAACAACTGCATCTGTGCGGCACAGCCCAGCGCGGAGATGGCGCTGCCACCCGCCGCCAGGTTGAGCAGTGCCTTGAGGATGATGACTAAAATTTAGCAGAGCTCCATGGCAGAGAGTTGGCTGAGGAAGAAAAGCATGGGGGAACATGAGGGCTCCATCACCACCGCCATGAAGATCATCATATTCCCTGCCAGTGTGACCAAATGGACAGTGAGAAAGGTAAGGAAGAGCAGGACCCGCAGATGGAGCAGCTCGGAGAAGCCGAGCAGGAGGAACTCCATGGTTGTGCCAGTGCTCACATTGTCCCACTCCATGCAGCCCTCACATGGCATCTGCAGGAGAGAAACAGAAGGGAGACAGCTGAATTTGATGTCTGGCAATCAATTCCCTATAGGAAATTGTTGCCACATTTCTCTTCACAGAGAAAAGCAAGGCATCATTCTTCCCAGGAATATTTCTGGGATTCACATTCTCTGAACATCAGAGAAAGAGAAAACACAATTCTTATCACTTGCTGTGCCCGTGTTGTGCCAAAGTAGAATGCAATATGGAGATTGTTTACCCAGAGTGGGGATGTTTTGTTTGCTTGGCCTGTCAGGACCAGGAGAATGTGTGTGTTGGACTGTCACGAGACAGTCATAAGAGAATGAGAGATGAGTGCAGTTCTGTGCAGTTGTGAGCAAGGGTGAGTGCACGGCAGATTCAGTTTACATGCAATGTATATAGTATAACATAATGAAGTAATTATTTAGCCTTCTGATGATGGAGTCAGATGCATCATTCTCTCTCCCCTTGTTGGAGTTGCCCTTGATTTGTAATAGGAAATAATGCTGCATTACTGTAGAACCAGTGTAGTAAAGCTTATTGGGTAGGGAGGAAGGTGATTTCATTGAAAAAAAATCCCAAACTTCAAACGTGATTTCACTCAGCCACATTCAGCACAATCTCAGGCCCAAATTCTCACAATCACCAAGGTTCTTGTGCCCAAACAATCTGCCTAGGATTCTTTGTCGACGTTGGTGACAAAGACTGTCAATGGTTGGGTCTTCATCACTTCTTCTGAGTTGTTCTGAGATTTGTGACCATGTGTAGGCTTTAAACATGCATTAGGTGCCTTTTAGGAGTTGACACTGATTAGTCTGACTGAGCTGTCCTGCTTTTGAAAGTCTTCACTGGACTCTCCCTCCTGATCTGCATTTCCTAAGAAGCTGCAGACAGAGGTGTTTGGTGCTTGACAACCATCAGCTCCTAGGTCTCACAGAAGTTGCTGCTGTTCCTTGTGCTTCTACTCCGAGGCAGACTTCTTAATTCTCTATTCACAGCATTTCTGCAGTCCCCTACATCTGTGTCAGAGATGTGCAAGTACAACTAGACAGTGAGATGGAGCTTCTATGCTGCAGCCTGACTCCTATTAGGGGAATTTTAGGTGTTCTCTGACTGGCTTTTCCCTTCTCCACAGTGGGTCTGCCATAAAGTTAATACAGAAAGAGGGTTTCAGTGATTAGACATGAGGATTCCAAAATTAGGGCTGACATTTTGGCTGCTTACATCTTTATGCCTGGCTCAGCCCTGTGGCATCAGAGTTAAAGTAAACAAACTTCCACTCTCCAAACCAAAGATGTCCATGGCAACATACATACTCTATAACAGTTTTTTAAGGAAAACACAATGCTAACATCCTGGACATGGAGACTGAGATCTTGCTTTTCACAGGAAGAACAGAAATTTCCTAGGAAAGTGGACTGATACAAAGCTACTTAAGCTGAAAAATCTAGGAAAGATAAGAATGTAGAGACACATATAAAAATAAATTATATACTGGTCATGGTTGAACAGAGTTCATTGCTGACATGTTCATCAATACAGTATTAACTACAAGGAATAATTGCAACTCTTTCTACACTTTGCTGTAAAACAGAAATAAAATCAGAGCTTTCTTGAAGACTTCTGCTTATATAAAAATCCCAGCAGTATTTAAGGGTGAAACAAACTGTAAAATGACATGAAATGTCATCGAAGACTAATAGAAGGAATGTGAAATTGGTGGAAAAGCTGTTAGTGGAGATGGGGATTTTCCTGGAAAAGGATGTTTCAAAAAAACTCCAGAAAAAATAATCACTACAGTTGAGGAGGTGAATCTACTTAAAGCCTACAGACCTTTGCCTTTTTTTTTTTTTTTTTTTTTTTTCCCAAGGTTTCCTTGTGATTCAGTATCTCCACAGCATTTGAAACATCTGGGGACTCAGGTAAATATGAAAATACCCACAATTATATTACCTCAGGTGCAAAACTAGGAATTTAATCAGTCTGCCTTAGAGCAGACTGATAAGTCAGCAAAATTAACAAGCTAGGAAGAAACTACCATAAACTCCAAGACCAAAAAATAATGGACTGTCAGTGAAGACCAAGAAGGAACTCTTTAGAGAACATAGAGAGAGCAGCACTCCTGCAAAAGCAAGTAAAAATAATACTGCTGGACACAGTTAACTCCTACATCTACATTTTGCTGCTGCAAGACCTCCCCAAAAGCAGTTCTAAGCAGTCTGGCTGTAAATCTTTCTTGACACTCTATGCAAGCAGAAGGTGTTCACTGAAAACAGGAGTAAGGGGTTGGTGCATGGCTGTGGACTGAGTCACTGAGGACCAGCTGGGGCTCCCCTCACTCCAAGTGCTGAGGCTTTAAGAGGATTCTACTGAACACAACAGGGCTAAGAAGTGGGAAGAAAACAGGGGTTTCCCTTCCTTTTGTTTGGAGCTGTTTGCTTCAGTGGCAACATACCTTCTCTGGGTTAAAAGGTAAGAAAATAGAGACTTCTTTCTCTTGATGATGTGTGCTGTTCAGTCTGGCTGAGATTCTGTTTCTTGCCCAGTCTGGGCTCCCTCTGGCTGTGGGTGCCCCTAGAACCAACGTTTTCTTTCAGCATCTCCTGGCCATCCTCTCTTCTCCTCTGCAGGACCCAGTTCCTTATATGCCATGTGATGCAGAAGTCTGTCCTGTTCCCTGCTGCCTCCTTCCTGCACCAAGGGCAGGCAGTTCCATTCCTCCCAAGAAATGGGGGGTTGCAGGTTTTCTGTAAATTGAGCAATAGGATGTAATTGCATCTTCAGAGGGTGGCACCCTGCTCTCTTGTTCTCTTCACTGAAGCAATTGAAAGTTGCTGATTATTGATGGGGTTGCTTTGTACCTGCCATGGCAACGTTTTAAGCAACAAAATCATTGCTGTTCTTCTTAAATAAAAGTAAAGCTGTGGGTGTTTAGGTAAGTTTAAGCCAACTAATACTTAGAGGCAAAGTAAAACAGATATAAAGACTTTAAACACATCTGTATATGGAGTTTTCACCAGTTCAGGTGACCCATTATCTTTTACTGGCTCAGATGAAATCACCATTCAGCAATTGATAGGACTGAGATTATTTGAGCCCAATTTATTTTTATTGCCATTGTTACATTTTCCTGGCTACTTACAGTGAGACAATGAAAGAGATCTGTAGCCTTATGTGAGTAGAAAAGAGAAGCAAAGTCAAGATTTTTGACTGTTAAAATGGATCTGCTTGGCAGAAACATGTAACTATGGTACCTCAAGATTTTTCACAGGACCTGGTTTAGAAGGAATACTTTCAAAATGTTTTTCTTTCATATTTTATCTATGTGGTATAGTAATTTTGAAACAAAACTGCCTCATGCATCGATCCAGTCTGGGACTGATTGTGCTGGGAAAAGAACCTGGTCTTCCAGTGGACAGCAAGGAACAGGAGCCAGGAAGGGGCAACGAAGACCAACCACTTATTGGGCTGCAATAGTAAGAATGTGTCCAACAGGTGAAGGAAAGTGATTATGCCCCTTCATCTGTGACACATGTAGCCACATCTGGAACACTGGAAAACTTGTATTCAAGTATTTTTACTCTATTTTAAACTTGTCATTTAACTTCTTAGAATTACAGCTATGACATTAAAGTCTATCTTCTTTAGTTTCTCGAGTCACTTCCTTAATTTTCAAATTTATTTTTTTCTTTTCAACTATTTTCCTTACACTTCTTATTGTTTAAGGTTCTGCAAATAATTCAGGGCACAGAATGTTTTTAGAGCATTTTCAAAACCGAATTCTGAATCTGTCTTGAATTCTAGGTACTGTTGTATAATGCTGAACAAAACAGCATCTCTGAAGCCTCTCTTGGTGACATGTCTCTGCAGCTGTAACAGGAGCAAAATCAAGGTGCTGGTTATTTTCTAATTACACCTAGCAAGCTGGGTGGATTATAAATGGAAGCAAATCTTTACAGTGAACTCTATTTTAGTAAAATGCTTTGCAGAATAAGACTGCTCCCTCTAGTAAACTCTGTCAGAATTTCAGGACACCAGCTAATCAACTCATTTAGAGTTTATCTTTGTGTTACAAAATAAAATTCAGGGGCTCTGGTGCTATTTCTTACTTTGTCCTCTTCTCTGACCCAAACTGCAGGAGAAAATCTGCTGCCTCAGTAACAATGCAAAAATAATTATCAGGAACTACTTTGACAAGTCTATTCCAGCTTTCTCATCTTCAGGTGGTCCTTTCCTCCTGCTGGACTGGAGGTGAACTGAGGTGAGTCAGCTCATAGCCAGTAACCAATACCACACAGTCAGCAGTTATATACACTAATTTTTTTTTTACCATAGTGCCCAGCCTTACACTGAAATAAATCAGGCAAATTACTGTTTCAGTCTGTGTGTGTGCAGATAAGCCATCATTTATTAATATGCAACTTACACCTCCCCGCAATGTTTCAACACACTCCCACACCTTACCTCCAAAACATGGCTCCCCAAGAGGGGAGTGCTAGCTGGAGTGAGCTGCGCAGCCCAGTGCCAGAACACACAGCAACCAGACAAACAACAAGCAGCAGAGGATGAGAATATGCATGTCAAAGCAACTCCATACTTCCTCCTCTAGCCCACACCTTTCAGGTTCCCAGCACTTCCATTGCATCAGCTTACAGCCAGGTTCATAACAGATTATTAAAAGCTGCACGTTGGCATTAGTGTTTGCATGTCTTGAGTCTGCAGCATATTAGAGAGCTGTACTTTCTGCCTGGCTGCAGAGTTCAGCCCTGCTCTCCTCCCTCGCACTCTTAACTGTGTGATTTATTTCAGTACGTGCCTGCAAGGCTTTGGGACTGGTCTGCCTTAGCCCGAATTTGTATAAAGAGTCTCTTGGAATCCAGCTACGGTTAATGAATCACATAGTATCAGCTTCTATCAGCAATTGCAACATACTTCAGAGGATATTCTCCTTGGTCTTCAGAAAAAGGGCCAGTACTGGGCTTGCCTATCCACACCCGTGGATTGCCAG